AGCTTTGTGCTCTAAATTGAATGTCTCCTTCAAGCTGATATCTTGAGATCAAACCCTCTGTGGACAGACTGCCATCTAATCTCTCCTTTGAAAGGATAAACCAGAGCACAGTGTTTCCTTCAAAGACAAATTGAAGGAAAAGACAAAGAAATTGCTTTGTAGGGGCAGAGTGGTTATGAGAAGGTGCTTCCGAAGCGGGACACAGTTTTTAGCCTTCAACCTTGAGACTTCCTAGAAGAATGTCTAAGCCTCACGCTAGGAACTAAGGGCAGGGAGATGGAGGCACAGGCTACTGAATCACAATGAAGGCATTTTCTGCCATGATCCTAGTCTTAAGGGTTCCAGTTGGACTTTTCCCTACTCTAAATGCCTGTACCCTTTATGGGACTGAAAGACAAATTTATTGCTGGAATTTACAAGAGACAAAGATGAGCTCAGAGATCAGGCACTGCCTGGTTTCCACAAAGCTAGTAAGAGACCGAGATTTTCCAAATAATGGACCACAAAGTGATCTGGTGTAAATCCTTCTACATGCTCTGGGTTAAGCGTTCAGCAGGGGTAAAACTAACTTCATGATGTTCACCAAAAGCATAAGAACTGAGTCACAGACCCTGTAATGAATTCCCTGTTGCCTTACAGGACTTGCTTTTTCAAAGGACCTCATTTTTTAATAACACAATTGATACATAGACTAGAACTGCACTGGGAGGTGGTGTGTTCTTACAGTATTAAAAATTAAATTAATTACCCTTAAGTTTTCAGAGCATACATACTGAAGTTTAGATTTTTTGTTATCAAAAGTGGGTTTTTTCAGCCTAATTAACTGTATTACTGCTGATGAAGCATAGTGCATATTTCAATTGCTGTAGCTTCAAGATGAATGTTAAATAATCTATTTCCTAAGTTGAACTGGACTTAATATTCTGTTCGAATCTTCCAAACTACTCCTCTTTCTTCACATATGATGTTTATCCAGTCATTCTCAGTGTTGCTTATTCTCACCTTTTGAAACAGTTTTGCTTGTTTTAACATGCCAGTTAAAACTGCATGTATGCAGTATGGTATGTAGGTAGGTATCAGAGCTTTAACCTTATATACATATTAAAATGCATTTATTATATATCTTTCCATAATCATTTGTTCTCTTCAAGAGAATTCAGTGTTCTTTTCCTAAAACAGCCTTTGCGCACCACGTGGGCAAGTTTTCTAGAAATAGAGATGATGATGTGAGACTCATCCAAGGCAGGAGCATATCTGTGAGATCAGATGCTACATCTCAGCAAATATGAAACTGTTGTCTGGAGGGTTTCTTTCCAAAAGTCTGCCTTTGCGAAGGGGTTGCTGGACAGGCCTGCAGCTGCTTCAGCAGCTTGTGTGTAATATGCAGACTGTTCCACAGGCAAACAGCAGGTTTCCTCCTCCTCATGCTTGAGTCACTTTATAAAGGAAAAACACATGCCTGGGCTTCGAGATACTATTTAACTCTCTCCAAGAATGTGGTAGCACAGTAAGAAGCTGCTCTGGCTGGGGTAATCATTGTACCCTGGCAACTAAGACCCTCTGCTCTCCTAAGCACTTTGGTATGATCCTGGTCAAATCATGTGGCCTACTCTGGGATGCCTTTGAGCCTGAGGAATAGCAGCATCCATGGAGCAGTGGGACAGCATGACTTATAAACTGGTAGGATCTTCACCATGGGACAGGGATCATATCCACCCACTAGGAAGCCAGCTATCCTGTGCATCACTACTGGAACAGATCTGTAGTTAAGAGCCTTCATTGGTGCTGTTCCTCCTCCTTCACTCAGTTGCTTCTTCCCAACCCATGGCTCAGCCCCTATAGATGTGCTGATGCAACTGTTCACGGTCCACTGCAAGCAGAGTGATCCTGTACACTAATCCAAAGTACAATAAAAATACTCTTTTCTGGTCAGTTAATGACCTGATTGATAAGATGCCCCAAAAATGTGTTGGCATGAATTTGGGGATTTTGCTCTGTGACATGAGCTCTGTTTCCAAGGCTGGAAACTCCACAGTGTGGCACTGCCACCAAAGCCCCCAGGTCTTTGAATAATGCATTCAGACTGGTGCAAAACCACAGGAAGAAAGAAGAGTTCTGATCTGTCCTATATGTGCTCAAAGTCCATAAACATTTTTAACTTATTTAAATAATAGCATTTCCTTCCAGGCTTTGCCTGTTACCTATTGAAAACATTTAAGATGAAGAGTTTATGAATAGGCTACTTATGTCTCTTTGATCTAATTGATGATGCTTTACTTAAATGATAGTGCAAACAAATCCTTGTGATAAAATAGGGATTTGGAAATGTTTTCAATAATGCAGTTTTACAAAGATCAACATAAACTCTTCTACTGCCTGAGTAAATGGCAAATGAGAGTCAGATGCAAAACCGTAACCTCACATTTTGCTGTACTTTGATTCCAGCACGATTATTTGCCCTCAACACAAAGAAATTACTGAGATGTGACTATGCTGTATAACTGTTTTCTGCGATAAGAATTCCAGAATTACATGTAGGACATGGAAAGTGTGAGGAAAAGAGAGGGGTTTGGATAGCAGGGAGAAGAAGAGGTGGAAAAGAAGACATGAAAGGCATAGGGAAGGAACACAAGGCAAACTGTGGCAAAAGGAATGTGATGGTCTAAGAAGGAGAAAGATGCTAGCTGAAGGAAAGGAATAGGACATGATAGAGCAAGTCATTCACCATTAGGATTTTTAGCCAAGATGGTGCATAACAGAGAAGTTAGTACTTTGAGGGCTTCGAGAATTAGTTTATTTTCAGGAACAAAATGATGTGCTAGCTGCTGCCAGACACCAGTAAATAGCACTGCTGTGTCAGATGATGAACATCACCAGGCCAGACAGGCACCCCACCTGGGACCAGGTACAGCCTTTACAGGCCCGGCACAGGTGACATCCAGCTCCTACCTGCTCCCACCAAAGTTGGCAGATGGTGCTCATAGCAGAGCTAAAATAAATCCAGGGGGAAAAAGGCTAAAAGTGTCTGCCCTATAGATATGGAAATGTAAAATAAAATGAAGACAAATTATATGAACCTCTGTCAAAAGACTGGGGATGCCAGTCCTGAGGGAGCTCTGTGTCCCACTGCCCATGTGGATCCAGCTGTGGGCACAGAGCATGGCACACAGGTGTGGATCTGAGCAGGGAAGGCAGCTCAGACCCCGAGCATGGTACAGCTGATTTTAGCAGATGCAAAAATAATTTGGGGGGGGCAAAAGTCAGGGTCAGCAGGACCAGGAGGTGAGCTCAGAGCCCTGAAAGGGTGGAGGGAGGGGAGACTTTTATCCTAAAGTAATTCTAAAGTCAAAGAGAGGTTTATCCTCCACAGCTAAATGAAAACGAAAATTAAAAAGAAAACAAAAAAACCAGGATAGCAACACTGGGGAGACAAAGACTCATGGACCAGTGTGAGTTTGCAAAATTTTATGCAAATGACCCCGGTTTTGACCATGGTGGCCCTCTGCTAATCCCAGACAGAAAATCTACTTAGCAAAGGAAAGTTTTGTTTAATTTGGTTAACCGGGGCAAAAATGTTGAATATATTTGTATTTTCAGAAAAAAAAATCTTTAATGCTTTAGTACCAAAGTAGGATCACAAGAGCTTAATGCTCACAGAATAAAAATTGCGTAGCATTTTCTCCATATTCTGCACCTAGTGCTGGTAAAAACGAGCATTTAACGTGCTTTCATAATAGGCACCAGCCTCTCTGCTGCTGCTGAATGTGTTCAGTTGATCCCCAATTGCTCTGTGTTCACTGACCAAGAGAGAGGTTCCCTCTGGATTTACCATCCTAAAGGTGTCCCGAGGAAATGCGGGTGTTTTCCCCCCCTCCCTGGCTGACTCTTCATGTTATTCCACCGTGTAACCTTTTCCCCACTAATCTGGGATAGCAGATTTTCCTGTATTTACAGGTTAAATGGAAGGTACACATTCCACTTTTTACTCATTGTAATGAAGATCTTTTTGTCTGTCTCCGAATAAAGGCTCGGGTTGGTTTACAAATTGCGGGTCAACCCATTCCGTGACCTGGGCAAACAGCCCAGGTCAAATCTCCTCAAGGCCTCCCCACCCAAATGGAATAAGTTAATTTACCCCTCGGCGGCTCCGGCCCCGCCGGGCATACCCGGGCTGCTGGGGGGTGGGGGGTAGCTGGGGTCCCCCTGCCCTGCTGCCAGAGGCTGCGGAGGCACCCGGGAAGCTTGGTTCAGGCACGGCCGGAGTTGCCTCACCGGGAGAGAGCCGTGCCGCGGCCTCGGGAAGTGGCTGGAAGGACTCACTCCCACAAGCTTCCATCGGTTTTATTCCCCGTGCTCCTCGTCTCTGCAGCGGCCGCCTCCCCTCCCCGCCCCGGTCCTGCGCCGTCCCTCTTATTCCTCCTCTGAACAAGCTGCGCCGCGGAGAAATTCGCTGGCAAAGCACATGGAAGATGCCGGTGCCGTTCGACACGTCCCCGGAGCATCCTCCACGGGCGCGTGGGAAGGGCGGGACTCGCGGATGTGCGGAAATCCGCCACCTTCCGGGCACCAGGACTTCCTCTCAGCCCCCCCGTGACCTGGGAGCAGAGCCAGCGGCCACCGAGATCCGTCCTTCAGCCCGTGCCCCCTCTGCCCGCAGTGCCACGGCCAGTGCGTGCAGAGGCCTCCCTGGGCCTCGCGGACCACGTCTCGCTCGTGGGGTTTTTGCCCTGGATGGGTGGGGAGACTCACCACCACCACCCGAGGAAGCTCCCTCACGGAAACAAGAAGGGGGGCGAGTATAAACGTTTATTCCGAGACATCGCTTGTACAGGCACCGCACCCGCGGATGGGAAAAGGAGCGGGTGGGGGCAGCTCCAGGCCCCCGGAGAGGACGAGCGGGAGCAGAGCCAGGCCCCTGGAGCAGGCAGGGGCTTCTCGCCCTCTGGGACCCCAGCGCATCTCACTCTGTCCCGGCAGCCTCCCCGTGCGCCCGGGTGTAACCTGCAGTGTCCGCGGTCATAAATAGGGTTTTTTCAGGCGGGACGAGTCTCTACAGCATGGAGGGGTGCTGGCCTGGGGGCAGCCCGAAGGCATTGGGGTGGGAATGGCCGAGGAGGTTGAGGTAGTGGCGGTCCAGCCCCTGCACGGAGGAGAGGAAGGTGCTGCGCTGCTGGCCGGGGCTGGCGAGGGGCACGGCGGCGCTGGGCAGGTGATAGGGCAGGGAGGGGCTGCGGCAGTGCCGTGCCAGGGGAATGGCGCCCCCCGAGGGCGGCTGGAAGCACGGCCTCGGCGGGGCTGTGGCCGTGCCCGGAACACTCGGGGCCGGGGTGCAGCTGGTAAGAAAAGTCCGGCTCCGGCAGGGAGCCCAGGGAGGTGAAAAGGGGCTCAGTGACGAAGCGCGCTTTGGACTGGAGGAAGGCCAGGATGCGGGCGTACTTAGTGTCTTTGGTCTCCATCCTCTCCACCGTCGTCAGGTAGTGCACCAGGTTCTTCATGCACTCGTGGTAGCCGTAGTGGAAGTAATTGGCGAACTCGGAGAGCAGCTCTGCTGGAAAGTAAGAGACAGGGACCCGAGCTCCTCAGGGTCTGGCGGCAGGAGGAAGGGAGAAGGCCGCCCCCACGCCCCAAGTGACCCGGCGGGGGCCCCGGGAGGCCGCTCCCGCCCACCTACCCTTCTCTCGTCCGCGGGGGAAGTCTGCCGAGTGCAGAGCCCGCAGGTACTGCACCGTCATCTCCAGGATTTCCGCTTTCTCCAGCTTCCCGGAGCTCTGCAACGGGCAGAGCAGGTGGGCATCACCTCTCCCCTGCGGCTACTCTGCGCTCTGCCGGGCCGCCCCCAGCCCCCCCGCAGCGGGGGGATTGTCGCAGCGCACCGGGGAGAAGGGCGTATGGGCTTGCTCCCCCGCCTAACTGCTTGCCAGAGCCATTGGGTTACTGTCTTCCCAGCTCGGTGAGCACGGTTGATCTGTCCCTCCTCCGCTTCTCATCACTTTGTGGAATACCGCTACTCTGCAAAATACGAAAGCGTAGTGGAGCCGAAGACAAGCAGCCGATCTCGTCTCGCCGGACAGTCGGCCCGGTCCCGACCCCCCAGCCACTCGCCCCAGCCCGCTCGAGCAGCTGGTGCCGAGCGCGCGCAGCCCGATGGATGATTTCTCCGGTGGGCGGTCCTCCCCGCGCCTCGTTGCTTTCCCGTCCTTGCGGACCGGCCCCCAGCACAGGAATAGTTTATGGGCGTGGGTAGATTTTATCTTTCGGGGGGGCTTCTTCAGGGAAGGCGGTGAGGCCGAGCCAGCTCCACCCGGCCGCCCCACAAGCAGCAATGCGCGCAAGACGGCCGACTCACCCTCCGCTACCTTGAGCTTTGGAGCCCATAGTGGGCACTCATCCCGCTCTCTCCGGCCCCATATAGCCATCACTTCTTGGGGGGCCCGGGGGCCTCCACCGCCTGATCACCAATTAGGATTTAGGAACGAGCGGCGCTGGGAATTATGCAGTAAAGTAGGTCGGAAGGGTGCCGAGGGATGAGAGAGCGGAATTTTTTTCTTCTCTTTCTTCCCGCCCCCCCCCCCCCTCTCCCCATCCACGCAGCCGGGGGCGGCCCAGTGTGTCCCCCACTTCGGAACCTCGGGACACACCGTGACGATCCCACAATAGCGCGGATGGCGGGGATGCGCGAGCGGTGCGCAGAGCCGTTTTATCGCGCCCTGCGTTCCGACTCGCCACATCCCCGGCCCCATCGCCTGCCTGCAAATCCCCGGCACCCCGCACCCCTCCCCTTAGCCCCGGCGCTGACTGCATTTTAAAGCCTGTCCAGAGTCATTAAAGTAATTAAGTAAGCCCTTAATAGGCTGTTCCGCCCAGTTCAAGGGAGAACCCTTGGAGACGGAGTGGCCCCGTTTGTTCTCAGGCTTTTCTCACACGACTTGGTGACACGTCCATCTTTATAAGAGATGGCAGCGAGGATTTTTTTGTTTACACCGCTTTATGCGCCGGGGACACCCCGGCAGGTGTGGGACCGGGGGGCTGGCACACGATATCCCCCTCATCACCCCCCCCTTTTTTTTTTTTCCGCCGGCCCAGGGAGGCTCTCGCCAGTCTTTGGCACACGACGCTCCTTTTTTGTGTGGTGTGCGCGTCTGTGCGTTGTTGTTTTACCCCCCCTGCTCCCCCCCTCTCCTTTGGAGAGGCTCAATTTGTAGCCTATTATCCTATAGGAAAATGTCCCATTGAAAAGTATGAATAGTTTCATTGGGCCTAAATTTTAATAATGCGGGTCAAAGAAAAGAGGGGCAAATAAAGAGGGGATCGCAGCTGGTCCGAGAGTGCATTATTCGGTGTCACCTGCGAGCGGGATCGCCGACAGACCCCCATTCATTTGCCTAATTTTGGTCAATTTAACAAACTTCAGGATAAATTATTGTGGCATTGTTAAGCAGAGTAAAGCTTTCTGATCGAATTAACAGCATGTTTTGATCCGGTAAATGTCATTAAAAAGAAAGAAACAATCGCGTTTAAAGGGGGGCTCCGAGTTAAACGCGCCAAGTGGAGACGCCGGAGCGCAAAGCTCACAAAGGGAGCAAGTAACTGCCACAGGGGAACTTTTGTACGCTCACATTGCTGAGGTTTTTTACACAAAAAGGCATTATTTCATACTTGAATACGTTTAATCCAACAATTGTCTATTTTCTGCAAACATATTTTCACAGCATTGTTAGCTTTCCTCTCCGCGGCCCTCCGCCCGGGCAGCCGCGCTCCTCGCCTGGCGAGCGCACCGAGCCCCCGGCCCGCCCCGCCCGCCCCGCACGGCCCCGCACCGCCCCCGCCGGGGCCGCCCCGCCGGCGCCGGTGGGGCCGCTCGCCCCCGCCGCCCGCTGCCCCCCGACAGCCGGCGGCGGCGGGCGCGCGCCCCCGCGGGGCTCTCACGGCCGGCGGTGCGCCTCCGATCGGCACCGGCCCGGGGCCGCCCGCCCCTTCCCCCCCGGCCCTGCCGCCGCCCCCGCCCCGCGCTGCGGGGCGCGCCACCCCTGAGCGAGGGAGGGACCCGAGGCGGCCGGGCAGGCGGCGCGCGGGCCAGTCTTGGCGCCTGGTTCTGCCCTCCCGGGCGACGTCGCCGAGCCCTAGGCAGGACTGCGGAGACGGCGACATCCCCGCCCTGATAGCTCGGGGAGCTGTTCTCTCGGAAATCTCCACATCTCCTCCCGTGCCCCGCGTTTTTCCACCCGTTCCCCCTTGCGATTTAAAATGGGAGAATCATCTCCATGGCATCTCTCCGTGTGGGAACGGCGGGCGGCACGGCCGCTCTCGCCCGTTCACTTCCCCAGAGGTGTCCGGGGGACAGGCGCGGTGCCGGCCCTAACCCCGCGCCCCAGGACGGTCCACAGCCTCCCCGGGCCGGCCGGGAGCACCGAGGGCTCCGCGGGAGGATGCTCCGGGATGGCCCCGGGGCGCGTCTCCCCCGGCCAGTGGGGCGGATCTGGCCGGGCCCGCTGCCCGCCCGGGCACCCCTGCGTGCCGTTCCGCCGGCCGTATTATTCTTCCAGGAGCCTTGTAGGTTTCGGTATATTCATTCTCGTACAATGGGATTAAACACTAACCGTTATCATCCAAATTAACTAAACTCTGAATAGCAAATGCTTGGGCTTTTATTTTTTTCCTCCTCTTTTGCTCCACTGGCGGAGATGGAGTTGATCCTCTTACTGTCTGAGTTAACCGCCAGCTGCAGGCACCCGCGAGGCAACTTCTTACATGAGGGAAGTTGTTTATTTTCTCGCTGGCTTCTCCCTCGTTGATTCCCCTTCGGGCCGGGCTGCCTGGGGCAGCGGCGGGCGGGGGGCGTGGGGCAGCCGCGGCATCCCCGCGTGTACGGTTTCCTAACCCTCGGAGAGCTGCGGCGGGGCTGAAGCCAGAGGGAGATCACCCGCCACTACCGCGGTCGGACTGTCAGTCTTATAGGGAAGCCAGGCGAAGGCGGGTTTGAATATTTTTTAGTTTTAGTTCCCCGTGGGTGCCTGTTAGCTCTCCTTGCGGGAACGCGTGCACGGTTCTTTGGCAACCCAAGGCGGACACCCGCGTCCCCATCACCCACCACAAATTCTCTGCTCCCGCTGAAGTGCCCCGCCGGCGGCAGCCCTCTCCCCGGGCGAGAGGCTGGCCGGGGGCCGGGCACAGACCGTGCCCCGCTCCGCGTGGAGGGGGATCAGCCCGCTGGCACCCCGGGACCGCAGGGGCGGGGGGAGACAGCACCGCCCCGGCCGCCCCTCTCACCCTCCCCGCGCCGGCCTGGGGTCCCTTGCCCGGGGGCTGTGCCCCGGGAGAGGCCGGGCCGGCCCCCGGGATGCGCTGCCGGGATGCGCACGGTTGTGCGGGACCGGCGGCTGCTCCGTGACCTTCGCCGCGTCTCAGTGGCGTTCGGCCCCTGTTCCGTGGACACTGGCGCTGCCGACCTCTGCCAGCCGCGGGCTCTGCCGAGGAGGCGAAGGTCATCTCGGAGGTGTCAAGTTGCTTTGAAGTGGCATCTAGGTTTGCTTTTTTTAATGAAAACAGGTCGTCTCCCCGCTGTTTCTTTCCCTCTTCTTTTTTGACTCCTGTATAATAACCTTGGGGTTATACGCAATTACTTCACCAAGTAATTTAAGCTGCAGATATTAGGCTTGAAAATCATTGTCACTGTGCACACGCAGGAGGCCAGCTAATCAGTCTCCCATGGAAAGTGTTGCCCGTGAAACTGGTGGATCGAGTGCAAGAAGTAAAATTCCCAGCGTGGCTGGGGCTGGAGTTGGCCCTGCCGGCATGGTTTCATACTCGCATACCGGAGGTCCTGCTGCGTATTGCGGAGAGGCAATCATGCTTCTGGATGATCTCATGGCTGATAGGGAATGAGAGAACTCACTGGGTACAACAGGTCTTATTTGTTGGAGGGGGTAGCTTTATTACTTGGCAATCCTGAATCTGCGAAGAAGCAGTGATCACAAGAGAAGGTATTTCATTTAGTAGTTTAACCCTCAGCTGTACATACAGCAGTGCATCACACTGTTCTGGCTTCTGCTGTGAGTTTGTTTACTCTCTTGTATTCTAGGTGAGGCGAGATTGGGTTAGCAATTTTGGAACAGGAGTTCCCAGTCTTTTCACAGCTCCTAATGATCTCTGACTCTGTGTCTGGGGCTGCTTTGTCGTCATATTATTCCTCAGCTGCAGAGGTTCCCCTTACCTCGATGTTACTGTTGTTTCCAGCTGTGGTCTGCCCTGAGTTTTCCTCCTCTGTCACAGTGGAAGACACATGCTCCTCTGTTTGCTAACCTGCCATGAATGGTGGTATCACCAGAGCTAAACTTTGATCCTAAAAACTCTAAAACTTTGATCCTTACTACAGGAAGTTGTCCAGTATCTCTTGGTGCTTGTGGTGGCAGATAGGATTTCCAGGTCAATAGCACTCCCGAGTGTTGCTATGTGCTTGTTGTATTCCACCTCTGAGGAGGTACATTTTATTGTAAGTATGTTTTGTTGTGTTTTTTCTTCGTGATTAAAAAGCCTTTCAGGAATGTAAAATCTGACTGGTTTGGTTTTGTATTACTCTGTTTTGTATGAACTTTTTGGAGTACGGATTATTTGAAAGTCATTCTCTTTCACATGTTCCTGTAGTTTCTGGTAACTACTTTGTTGACTGTTTTTTTCAGCAGACTTTGTCAGGCTTATATGTAATACAGCTAATATATACAGAATTATATAGGGTAAAATGCTTCACTGATTAAAACCAGGTGTAGTTATGTATGTTATAGCCATTTACAGAAGCTGATTTACATTGACAGAAGACCCAGTATAGCTTTTGCCCACCAAATGTTTGTGTATATATAGCAAAACTTGAGAATGTCCTCTGTGTCTTTGTACAAGGTGAGTCCTGCAAGACAGTGGAGAGATGTCTGCAGTTTTCCTGGTGACAGCTATCTTCTCAGCCATGTCACTGTTGAGATAGGATGCATTGCTCTTTAAATGACAGTCTGTCAAAATGAGTGCTAAAATTCTTTTCAGTTGGATTTAGATAGTCACAAATCACTGGCGAGGTGTACCTTAGATTGCTTGTGTCTGAGGTGTTCTAACTAGTCGAATAGCTAGACTTAGTGGCTCTCTGGCATGAATAAAAACTGAAAGGTTTGGGAAGTACAAGAGCTTTTTCTGTACTGACGTCTAATACTGATAAAATGTCTAACCTCTCCAGTCTTAGTAAAAACTAAAAACAAATAAATAAAAAAAAAGTAAAAACTTTCACTCATCATGGCTTCACAGAGGGGAAGTCATACTCGATCCACCAAATAATCTATGATGAAGTGACTGGCTTGGTGGTTGAAGAAAGAGCAGTGGATACTCTGAAGAAGAGAAGGCTTCAGGGTAACCTCGTTGTGGCCTTCCAGTACTTGAA